TTTTCTGAAAGCAAAGGGACTTAAAATACTTTTTAATGAAGATCACAGACCACAGTCTTTGGTACGGGTTGCATCTCAGTGTAAAGAAAACAAAAATCCTCACCGTTGGATTATTAAACAACATTCATATAAATGGAGAAAAGGTGGACATTGTCAAAAGTCTTAATTTTGCTTGGATCCGCTATCCACTCCTGGAAGTAACAGTCAAGAAATTAAGTCACATATTATATTCGGTAAATCTGCTGCACAAGACCTCTTTAAAATGTTCAAGAGCAAAGATGTCAGTTTGAGGACTAAGGTGCACCTGACCCAACAAGCCATGTGTTTTCAGTAGCTTCATATGTGGGTTAAAAAAGTTGAATAAGGAAGATTGTAGAAGAATTGATTCATTTGAGTTATAGTGTTGAAGAAGGTTGTTACAAGTACCATGGACTGCCAGAAAACCAAACAAAACTGTGTTGGAAGAAGCATAAACAGAATGCTCATAGAAGCCAAGATGACGAAACTTCATCTCTAATACTTTGGATGTGTTACCAGGAGGTTCCAGTTCCTGGAGAAGGACATCATGCTTGGTAAAGTTGAGGGTCAGCAAAAGAGAGGAAGACCCCCCACAAGATGGGTTGGCATAGTGGCAGCAGCAGTGGACTCAAGCATAACAACAATTGTGAGGATGCATGAGGTCACAGAATCGGAACCAACTCTACAGTACTTAACAATAACATTTTTGTATGTCTCCATTAAAGCCAACATAGAAGTAGTTTCTTAATGTTTTTAAGATTCTTGTTGTTGTTAAGTGCTGTCAAGTCGCTTCTGTTCCATAGCGACCCTGTCTATGGTTTCTGAGGACCAGCTGGTGAGCTTGAACCGCCGACCTTGCAGTTCAAACGGCTCTGCAGTCTGGCGCATTAACCCACAGCACCAGGACACCTTAAGATTCTTAGGGATCCTTAAGATGATACAAATGGTTAATGCACTGGGCTGTTGATTGAAAGATTGGAGATACAAGTCCATCCAGAGGCACCATAAAAGAAGGGTCTGGCAGTGTCCTGAAAAGTCAGCCATTGTAAAGCCTTTGGAGCACAGCTCTACTCTGACATTCAGGGGGTCTCCATGAGTCAATATCAACTCACAGGTAACTGATTGGTTTTAAAATGCTTATGTATGCAATTCATGTAACTCTTTTTACCATGTTAAAAATGCCTTTTACTATCCATCCTCTGGGTTGGATTTTTATTAAAATGTCTGTTTAATTTCTTTGTTTTTGATCTCCCAATTTCTGAAAAATAATTTGAATGTGTGTAGAAATGAGTATTTGAAGTAAAGGTGTATTAAAGTTGTAGTTTCCAGAATGCTTAACAAAGATGTGTTCTTACAGTAAGATCTTATTGTTTCTTAGCAGTATTTAACAGAATATATTTTAAAACATTAAAAATGTTTTATCTATCTGTAAACTGGACAAGCTACAACTTGTGACAGACTGGGGAAGCATGCTCTGAAAGATTTGAGTCTCTCAGTTTTTCAAGTATTAATATATATTCCTAGATGCCTGGGAGAAAAGTATTAACATATGTTCCTATATGCCTGCGAATAGAGAAATCATTATACTCATTGATTACACGTATAATTGAAATAAAACCTGAATCAGTTTCTTCTCAACCCCTGTGAAGTAGCCTGTTACTTTGGTTTTTATGTTTTTATAAATCAGCCTACACCTATCATATTCTCCTGTTTTGACAGTTCTGGGTCAAAAACCAAATTTGTTTTGCCTTGACAAGGCACCAGCTCTTTGCATCTCATGCATGACATTGTCTGTTCAACATATGTTGGTCTACCACCTACTGTAGACCAGGCACTGTAGTGTCTTGCAAAGGTAGCAGTGTAGCCTTACCACCTCTTGAACAGAAGCCCATGACTGAGCTTGTTGATTTCTTTAACACTATAATGTACCATTGGTGGTGGTGGTGGTGGTGGTGGTGGTGGTGTGCTGTGGAGTCACTTCGACTCAATAGCGACCCTGCTTGGGGTTTAATGTACCATTAGTGGGAACTAACTGTTTGTGACACTGTCAAATAAACACTGAACTGAAAGGTCAGTGTGAACTTCAAGGTTGGTGGTTCAAACCCACCAGCCGCTCCTCAGAAACCTTATACAGGGTCGCTATGAGTCAGAACAAAAATGACGACACTTAACAAGTCTGAACAAAGCCATAAATTATAGCAACATTTCCAGAGTGTTTTCTAGGGGCATGGTCCTACAGGTGTACCCGAGAAGTCTTCTATAATCAGATACATTTGGGAAATGTTGCACATTATCTCCCTCTTTTGAAAGTGAAGAATCAAGTTCACTTCCTGTTGACCCCATTGCCACTCTCCCTCTCACCACCCCAGCGCCGCTGGTTTTACCACGACCTTGACTTACTTGACGTTTGACTTGCTCCACAGTCCCTGTTAATTTGCCACAGTACTAGGGTTCTTTGGGGCTCACTTTGGGGAAAGCTAAATTATAGATCATAAATCTGCTTTGCAAGGAGGACTTCAAAAAGTCTATGGAAAAATGGAATTAAAAGATAATGGAGTTTTCCCACAAACTTTAAAGCCCTCCTTGCATTTATTTGGTGATGAGAAAAGCCTTCTTTAAGGCATGCAGTAAATATAGTTATCAACAGCTTTTTGGCCTATTAAATGAAGAAAATAAGTCTCAGCCAGCTTATGTACTCTGTTAATGTTCTTGCTTATTATTGACTCTTCATGTTGTAATACTCACTTTAAGCCTGGAGACTAGGTTTTAGATGTCAACTTAGCATTACAAGGATAAAGATGGTTACTATAGTTGCAAACCTATTTGATGTCCCTCCCTTTTTCTTTGGCCACCTATTCCATTTGGAAGGATTCAGAAACAAGACCAATTCTATAACACAGCTGAACTTTTTAACAATAAAATCAGATATTAACCATCTATGTTAGTTAAAGGAGAGTTGTAAATTTGAATAGTTTCCATTATTTTCTTTGCACTTTCTCTTGTTTAATAACTGCCTACCTTCTTGTTGTTGTTAAGTGCCATCAAATCAGTTCCAACTCATAGCCACCCTATATAGGGTTTCCAAGAAGCAGCTGGTGAGCTTGAACCGCCAAACACTGCAGTTCAAACCAACCTTGCAGTCCAGCGTATTAATTCACAGCACCATACCAGGACTCCACTTTCGAAGATTTATAAGGACCCATGGTGGTGCAGTGGAATAAGCATTGGACTACTAACCCCCAGATTGGCAGTTCAAACCCACCACCTGCCCCACAGGAGAAAGATGAAGTTACCTACTTCTGTAAAGATTTACAGTCTCAGAAACCCTAAGGAGCAGTTCTGCTCTTATTCTGTAGGGTTGCTGAGTTGGAATCCACTCAGTGACAGTGCATTTGGGTTTTGGTATGTCAATTATAGAAGAAAATACATAGAAAAATGACTTGAGCATAAAAAAAAAAAAAAATCCAAGTGTTTAATGTCAGCCACACTAATGCAACCTGATTTCTTAAAGATCCCTTGTAGCATAGTGGATTACAATCTGGACTGTTAACCAAGAAGTCCGTAAGTTGAATATACTGTGGGAGAAAGATGAGGCTTTCTGCTCCCATGTAGATTTACAGCCTTGGAAACCTTAGGTCACTATGAGTTGGAACTGACACAGTGGCACACAATACTACCAACCAATTTCTTACACATCTTTGTTGTTTCTCCTACTGCTCCTGTATCAGTTTCCTTCAGGCTGTAGCAGACTTGGACTTGGCTAAAACAAAGGACTGGTTTTGTAGAGGGCAAGGTGTGTTCAGGTGCTGTTTAGTATTGTTACCTTATATGCAATTTTATTTCAGAATATAAAAAAATGTATTGCAAAGATATTGTTAACTAATTGCTTATGGTTTTCTATGTGAATTTTCACACTGGAAAGAACTCAATGAAAAAATTAAGGTTTTGCTATGTGTGTTGATTTTAGCATCTTTAATTAAATTATTGTGGGATCTGTCTTCTCCCTTCCTCCTTATGTTATGATTGTCTGTCTGTCTGTTTTTTGTTTTGTTTTGTTTTTTGTTTTCAGAGTCTTGGTTTCAAAGAAGCTGGGAGATGTTTATATGTTAGTTTATTTATAAGAAGTTTAAAAAGCCTACTGCTGATAGTCATGTCTGTGTATTGGGTATAGGGCCGAGGTAGGAGCTAGCCGGGGATCGAGGGACACATTTGCAGAAAGAAACCATTCTTCCTTTATGGAAGTCCAGCCTAGACTGCATTGCTGTTGTCCCCACAGAGCAACCCATTACTATGGATTGAGAGTTTACCTTCTCAAGAGTGTAATCATGACGGCTTTTCTTCTTTCCTCATTTGTAAAAACTGCTGCACATGCCCCAGACCCCTTAGCACTAGTCCTTGGGGGCTAGTGAGATTTTGTACAGTCTTAGGATGCCTCTGGGCGGGAGCACACATGTGTTAAATTTGTGTTCCCTTTGTCATTGCTCTGAGGTATTTTAATAATTATTTTGTAAATCATCTAAAATATGAGCTATTTTTTTTTAAGTACTTAAGTATTGAAACTTCTTCCCCTGTCTTTTAGCCACTTTTTGATGTTATGTAATATATACCCACTGTAGATTACCTTTTATTTCCTTTAATGTTATATTGTGAAATGAATGATAGTTTACATGGGAGAACATCAGTTTTACATTCATAATAGATTACCTTTTAAGGGAAAATTGTTCTGGATGCTTTGTAAATCTTGGTTAATAATCCATCTTGATTCGTCCACTGTGGTTGTTAACCATGTACAAACACAACTTGCATCTCATTTCATTTTAGTCAGCCTGAATGTTTACTGCTGTCGTTAGCTGTTGCTGTCAGAGTAAGAAAGAAACAGAGGTACTTGCGGTACTCTGTTCTCTCAGAGTGGAATGGCGTTGGGATGTGGAGCTCCTGACTTTGCTTATTGCTTGGAAACTGAATCCTGTGCTATTTCTTAGGGACACAGCAGGTCAGGAAAGATTCAACAGTATTACCTCAGCTTATTACAGAAGTGCCAAGGGGATCATATTGGTCTATGACATCACTAAGAAAGAGACGTTTGATGATTTGCCAAAATGGATGAAGATGATTGATAAGGTAGGTGTTGCATTTTTCTCTCAGATGTGCATGCTTTGCTTATGGGTGTTAATCATGATGAAAGAAAGAAGCGGGAAGCGTCTCTAGAACATGCTTTTACAGACTGACCATCATTTAGCCCTGTGTTACAGATGAGACCGAGAAGAATTAAGTTTTTCCTGTACCACACAGTTTCTAAATAACAAAGCCAAAGGCTTTTTTCTGGTGCTGTGGACTGTCCCACTTGGAAGCCCAAACATGCTTAATCATTCATATTTGCCACCCCATGGATTTAGCTCAAGGGAACTTGTGTTTCTATAGATGGTTCAGCTGAGCGTCCACTCACCTGTGGAGTATCATCAGAATACAAGTGCCTTTGAGGACTCACCTGCCACATCTTCAGACAAGCCTGCAGCACCGCTGGACAGGCACCTCACAATTAATTACTTTCCATTAGTACAGTGTGAGCAAAAGAAAATGTTTGTTTTTAGCTTCTAATAAAATATGTTCAGTTAAACTGTGTCTGAGCAACGTAAACTAGGTTCCCTTTTTAAAAGTGTGTACCCAAAACACACATTGAGAAAGTAGAGCAGTTGGGGATGGAAGATTGTGGTTCACAGGTGACCACGTTTAGAGAATCTCTTTCCCCTTATGGAATAATTTCATATTTAGGCCCTTTGCATAACAGGCACACGTAATATAGATAGAGTTTCATTTATAAATGGTTAAACCACTGTTAAATTATGTTGGCGAGTGTTTGTTTGCCAGCTTTATCCTGGCTCCACACTTCATGCTCCACACTGGGAGCCACAGAGTACACCCCTAGGGGAGCTGGGCAGGGGATGTCTTCATTGTAGTCTAAAAATTTCGAGAACATAGTATGGGATCCATTTAAAACCAAAGGAAATAGCATAAGTTCTAAGGGCCTCATGACCCACTGCCATCAAGTCAATTCCAACTCATAGTGGTTTCCAACACAATAAATCTGTATGGAAACAGACAGCTTCATCTTCCTCCCAAGGAGTGGCTGGTGGGTTTCAGCCTTTAAGTTAACAGACTGATGCCTAACACACAGCGCCACCAGGACTCCTAAGGTCATTTATTTGAGCCATTCCCTTGTGTTTCCTTGTGTGAGCTACAATTGTCTATTGTCTGTGAGGCATTGTGAGGTTGTCGTATTTGTAAAAACAGACAGTACAATTGTTGGACCCAGAGGGAAGAAATCTCTGGGGGGCTCTTGCAATTCAAGGAGCTTACAAGGTGGTTGTGGAAGGGATGTGAAAGCAGAGTTTCTGGTCCTAGGTTGAATTCCCATTGGCCTCAGTGTTATCTGTGTTCAGAGCAATAAGGCACATAGGCACATAGGAAAGAGTTCATGGGCGCCCTTGATGGAGCTGATTCCAGTGTCAGAACGTCAGGCAAGTTGGGGCAGCATGACTGGTTAGATGCTAGTCTGGCTCCACAGTTTTACAGGTTTGGATCCCAGCCCATCTAAATCCATGCACCAAAGTAGCACACACCAAACCGGTACAGCCGGCCCCCACCTCACTCTGGTGTGCCTGTCAACCATGTGACTCTGAACTCCCAGACAGCAGGATCTACGCAGCAGGTGAATGAGAGTGGGAACTGACCAGGATTCTGGTCGCCAGGGAAGTGTGAGGAAAAAGAAATTGCACCTTTTCTGTCACCTGCATAAATCTACTTTACCAGGCCTCACTCTGCTGCCAAATGCTACTTCACGAGATGGTGGAGCCACATGTGGCCCCCCATTCACCAGCCAGTCTCCCTCTCTAGCCATCCCTGCTCAGCCTCTCCTCTCAGCAAGCATTCCATGCACTTCTCTATCTGTCTTTTCTTCTGAAGTTTAGGGTGCCAGAATTTTCATCTGTGTTTGTTTTATTTTGTTTCATATCTTTGTTGTAGAAGGTCCATATAGTGCATCTGCCTAGTCTGCCATCTTGTCGGAAGTACTAGGTGCTTCATTTCAGTCTCTCTGTTTTTCTTTATTAGTGAAGCTTTCCAGTTGGAATGTTTCAGGGGTTTAATGCTCCCTTAGGTACTTTGATCCTTCCTCTTGGTTTTCACCTTTGAGAAAGTCATATCCATCATTTCCTGGGTGCTTACTATGTACCAGTTCTTGGTCCTCAAAGCAACCTAGCATGTCAGTGCTTGTTACCCACAATCAGAGGAGTTGAGACTCCTTGCTTAACAAAGGTCCAAATTCACAATGTTCAGGTGTCTTTTATTGTATTCGGCCTCAAATAATTTTTGGAATACATAAAATCAGATGAGTTACTCAATTAACTTTTTTCTCTGAAGAAAAACTAAATTGGATGCATACTCCATTTAATTTTAAATCACACTTCTTTCACACTTTATCATAAAGTGATAGAATGTATAATTAATGTTTTTCCAAAGCCTGAAGTTTTTTCAGTAGTAGTATTCTGAGTTTATATTCCCCTATTCACTTCTTCATCTGTTTTGTTGAACATTTATGATTTTTTTCAATTGATGACCATTTTGAGTTTAGAACGTTGTATTTTTAATCCTTTTATTAGGCTGGATCTTAGGAATTACTGGGTCAAAGAGTAGGAGCATTGTTGTTCTTGATGCTTTCTACTAAAATGCTGTGAGCGTTGTGAGAACCATCTGCTGCCCCATTGTGGTCAGCCTTGCCTGGGACAGAATGAACAAACGAGTGAGTGTGTGAAAGGCTGGCTTGCTTTTCAGTGTTAGCAGATGACAATGCCCATCTTTGAAATACAGCTTCTGTTAACATTCCACAGTATGCTTCAGAAGATGCAGAACTTCTCTTAGTTGGAAACAAGTTGGACTGTGAAACTGACAGAGAAATCAGCAGACAGCAAGGTGAAAAGGTGAGAGAGAGGAGGGGAGTCTGAGAACCAATGCACAGAATTCTGCTCTGTTTAGCAGTTGATACACTTTTTCTTCTAATAATTCTTTTTTAAGTTATGGAATATTTGAAACAAAAAAAGTACAAAGAAGAATAATGTATTTTCTGTGTGTGGTCCTTGCTAATATAGGATAAATACTATATACTGTTTTTTATCTGTACTAGATGGAGCTATCACTAATGGTTTAGAAGAAAGAATTATGGGTACAGTTGTATTGTATTCACACTCTTTTCATTTGTTTACATTTATTTTTAAATGAGAGAAAAATGTTAGTGTACACTGCATTATTATCTAGCATAATGTTTTATACAGAGAACACATTTTTTTTTTTTTTATTGCTTTCATGGTTTTCTGTTTATAATGTGTTTTAACCCTCCTTGCTTTTCCTTACTTGAGGAGCCTGTCTCATCTTAGAGCTTTTAGGGGTGGGTATAGGAGTGGTGTGTGTGATGTACATATCAGGTAAGCAGTTGCTGTATTTGGTGACATTTATGCATGTGCTTGGCAGGGCCTCAGACCTCCTGATCCCACCCCTTCACATTGAGGTTTAAACCAGAGTTGCCAGTGTTCTCGCAGTGGAACTTACTGCATCTCACCCATAGGATTTTCTGTTCTTAGTTTGCACAGCAGATAACTGGGATGCGGTTTTGTGAAGCGAGTGCCAAGGACAATTTCAATGTGGATGAAATATTTCTGAAACTTGTTGATGACATTCTGAAAAAGGTAAAAGAAAAGGATCTCTAAGTATTTATGTGAACACTTTTAATGTGTTTTATAATTTCATCATTGAGAATTTCTTATTTAGAAAGGAAAAGGCAGTAGGTAGTAATGCTGAAGCTCAAGAACCAAGAGAAGTTACTAGATCCAAGGCATGCAGTTTGCTGTCTTGGCTGCCATCTCTATCCATTGGTTGTTAGTATGACTTAGTGTTTGATGTGTAACATACATGTAGAACTTGGAAAAGCTGTGGGTGGGTGAGTTGAACACAGTGCGATATCATCCCATGTGCCTTGAATATTTCGTTTCTTACGTGGACACTACCACGGTCTACAAGTCTCTGAGCTGAGGCCTACCCTGGTACCTACTTCCCAGTGGGTGCCTCATGCCTGTACCTGGGCTTCTGTGTGAAGCTGAGTTCTAAGAGATTTGCTACGCAGCTTCAACGAGCAGCAGTAGCTTTTTTGAGTGTCCTTAAACTTGCCTTCACAGGTTTTTAGTAGAAAATTTATTTATGGTATTATTAAGTATAATCTGTTTAATTCAAATGCAACTCAGAAGCTTTTACTAAAATAATTATTTATATAATTGTCAAGGGAAGTTATTTTCTGTAGTAATGATAAAACTAACCCCCAAGAATGCAGAACCATTTTATAAAATTTTATGTATATTATTAAATTTTCATTGTACTTGGTAGTGGTTGTGTTCTGACTTACAGAGACCCTACCTGGGGTTTCCAAAGCTGTAAATCTCTACAGGAGCAGAAAGCCTCGTCTTTCTCCCGTTCTTTGTAGGTTCTATGAAAATAAGTATCTCTGAACATCAAATATTTTTGAGGGTAGTCAGTGATAGAGTTTTGACATGAAATTCTGTGAACTTGGCTTTTAATTTTTGGCTAGTATCTGGTTAAACTTTGATGATTAGAGAGGATTATAATACTTTGGGGGGGGGTTGTTGTTATATGACTGGCAAATATTTACACATACATTGTATTACAGTAAACTCTATTTGTCTTTTTTTCCTTGTCCTTAAGATGCCTCTGGATATTTTAAGGAATGAGTTGTCCAACAGTATCCTCTCGTTACAACCAGAGCCTGAGATTCCACCAGAACTGCCTCCACCAAGACCACATGTCCGATGCTGTTGATTTGCTACAGTGGAAATGATTCCTGGAAAGGGGGAAAATGTTCTATTCTGCACTACAATCATTTTGAAAATTCCTTTCGCACTTTGTAATCCAAGTCAGAGCTATACACTAACTTGTAAATATGCAAATATACAATCCTGGTAAGGTTTGGTTACATATTTCCCTCCAAATTACTCTTACTTCATTCGTTATCCCAGTGTGTAGTGTACATACACTGGAAAATGTAGTACTTCTAATATGAAGAATGGGGCAAATGAGAGGTATAATGTTTCTTGAAGTAAATAATTTAATTGTCCTTTTTAATTATATTATGAGGACAGAAGATATTCTGATAAGAGGGATCGTGGTGCTTTGCTTACTGTTTTAAAGAAAATTTGTAAAACTAAAGACTTTTTGAAAACAGTAATCTTGAGTGCTTTTTCTTTATCTACAAGACATTTTCCCCTAGCTGTAACATCTTTGACATATTGGAGTATTTCTGCACAGAGCAAAGCTACACTCATAGCTGTCCTGGATTATTTATTAGTGTTATGTATGGTAGGATATTCTAGTTAAAATCCCAAGGCCACACACTCGCCATCATGGTTTCCTGACAGTGTACCCTGTACCTTTAAGAACTACAAAGGTTTAATAAGGAAAAGTGTTTTTGAAACTATAGAAGATTTTAAAACAACGCTGCTGTCCTAAACAAATTCTGTTTAAAGATATTTTAAAGAGAGACATTTTACTATATCAAAGAACATATACATGTATTTGCCTAAACCTTCTGTACCTTTGTAACGATAAATACTTTTCTCCTTTTGGTGGAGCTTATTCCTATTAAGCCTACACTGTGTTCAAGTTTTTCTTTTTTTTTTTTTTAGGTCTGATAATGAATTTGTGAACTCTTATCTTTGGTATATCTTTTAAACTTCACTGTTTTGTTTAGTCAAAGTAAATAAGTAATTATGTATTTGAATAACTTGGCGTGTCTTGAATGTTGTGGTATTGAAAAGCATTGTGGTCTTTCTATACTAATGAAGTGCAAATAAAATTTTGTATTTATGAATGACAGTTGAGTTTGCACCTTATTTGTATAATTATAACTCAGACATCTGACAGTATTCTTTATAAATGCCACGTCTTTTGAGTGTTGGAGGTAGGAAAAATTTGTAACTTTTATCATCCACACTTGATTATGGATTGTGCCGTGTACAGACTAGTAAATCTCTCACCTCCAAGCTGGGGCTGGGACTCTACATTCTCCAAACTTTCTAGTTCTGCTGTTAGAATCTTTGATGGGAACTTGGGCAGAGAGAAGGGCCTTGCTTCCCATTTTCCCATTCCAGTCAGTTGGCTCCAACACTCAGTTTCCTTTGGGATCCCACAGCTCTAGCATCATTGCACCCAATTAGAGGCACCACTGGCATTTGATCGGCGGCCATCCAAGCTCCCCACTAAACCATGCTCTCCTCAAAAGTCCATATACCCACCGGGTTCTGCTCACCCTTTCTAAGTTGCCATTAAGGCAACACCAACACATGGTGACCCCATGTGTGTCAGTAGAGCTGTGCTCCCTTAGGGCTTTCAGTGACTGATTTTTCTGAAGTTGATTGCCAGACCTTTTATCCACAGTACATCTGAGTGGACTCCAGGAACAGTCAACCATGTTAACCATTTGCATTCCCCAGGAACCCCTTTTGTTTAGCATCTCAGCAACTGTGTAGCCTGTTCACTGTGTTAAATCTTTTCTGTTTGAAGATAACTTGTTGTGTTTTTTTGAATGATGAAAAGTACTTGATGTCCAGAGTAGTCTCAGGAAATAAGTCTTCAAAGATGAATTTCTCAAAAATATTTTCATTTGCCTTGAGCATATGTGACTAACCCAGTTTGCAGTGTGCTTTATATTTACCATTCATTCTTAGTTCTTGCATGAATGTCTATCAGCTGTAATTTAACAGAAGTTAAATTACCCTACTAAGTACCATGCTTACTTAGTAGGGTACTTTGGGTTAAAGGTAGGGGCTATGCAAGGAGACTAAGTGGGTTTTATAAGCCAGTTCAGTCATTACTGACACAAAATTGGAACAACGCCAGTTGTAAAATTCATGTGTACCAGAAGAGGAACAGGAAAATATACAGATCAAAACCCTAGAGTAGGAAGAGGCATAATGAGCGCTTTCAGGCGCCTGATGCAGGAGATTGAATTATTGTCAACACTAGAGAGCAACACACATTCAAGGTGCACCATGGCTGCCATCTTTGAGCGAGGCAATCTTCTTTCCACCTTGTCAATCAGACTTGGTTGTCACGCAGTATGTGTGCCACCTTTGTTTTCTAAGAAGATTGCGTTTCTAGCAGGATACTGACGTGTCGTTTTTTCCATTCTGATTGTTTTGGTACACCCACATTTTACAAATAATAGGTCAGTTCCAGATTCCAGTTCATTGACATGACTGTAATGGAAAGGATCAATTAGCACCCTGAATTCAGTTTTTGTTCTTTGGCTTTCCAATGTACTTTTGAGGGTTTTTTTCTCCATGAATAAGGTTTTGTGACAGAAACTAGGATTCTTAATTTTCTCTACCGTTGTCCTCCACAAGCTTTTTAGGGGTAGTGGTGGGGCTGGTTGTTCAGTTTCTATTGTAAGAGTGATTCTCATGACTAGTTAGTGGCCTGTCTTGCCTACATGTTGACCCCGTGGGAGTCTCTTCCATCGTGTGATAAACTGTATAACTCCATGTCTTGTAATTTGTAAAAGGCATGCCCCTTTTAGAAAATAATTGTAAATAACTTTGTTTTCACAGTTCATTGGCCTAAATTACTGTCTTATTTGATGCCCGCAGAAACTAAGTAGAGACTAGTGTAATTAAGTTTCACTTATCCATATAGATGGAGAGGAATATAATCTGAAAAACAATAAAAACACATTTTTTTTAATGACAAATATTGTGTGAGTCCACTATTGTAAAAACTCAAGAAGAGGTTTTCATACTAAAACACATTCTTTGATGGTTACCAGGAGTGGGAGGGAAGGGAGAGTTAATTCACTAGTTAGCAGGTTGTTAGTACGTCGTCAGTTCTGACTCATGGCGACTCTACATAGAGTTTCCGAGGAACAGCTGGTGAGCTTGAACCACCTACCTTGTGGTACAAACCGACCTTGCACCCTAGTGCATTAACCTGCAGCACCACACCAGGCTAGAGGGTAGACAAATGTTAACTCCGATGACGGAGGGCAAGGAAAAAAAAAAATCACCTAAGACCATACAAGGTCTTCAAACTTTGTTATGGCCACAAAATCATACTTCAAATTTGTGAACTAGATTTTACCTGTGGAGTTCACCTTCATGGAGAATTGGTAGTCATGGTGGTAGTGTACCGTAGAGTTTCCAAGGCTGTAAGTCGTCTTGGGAGCAGAAAGCCTCATTTTTCTCACACAGAATGGCTAGTAGTTTCAAACTGCTGACCTTAAGGTTACCAGCCCAACTCATAACCACTATGCTACCAGAGGTCCTATGAATGTTGTAGGGAAATTTGGGTCATTTTCTGCATGAATTTCCAGTCCTTCCTTTTACACTTGGATCTTTGACGTTCCTTTTCATGTTGGCAGGTGACAATGTTTTTAAATTTTTGGAATGTGAAATAAATGAGAACTTTAGCTGCTGTCTGGCTGTAAAACTAAAAGTAGTTTTTGTTTTTTGGCGGAAGGAGTGACTTAACAGTATCAGGGAGAGAGAGAGTACTTGTTTTATAAGATGTATTGTCTAGAATTTGTAACGAGGTCCACAAGCTACAGTTTAGAGTGTGTCAAGACGTGATGCAGGGACCTAGTGTTTATGTGTGGTACTGTGTCCGTGGAACTGAAATTCACTCAATAGTTGAGACGTGGAAGGCACTGTACCTAAATGCACAGAGGTACAGATTGAGAACTTCATCAAGTGCAAAACATAGGCCCACAATTGGAACACAGTGGAGCTCGTGTTAGTGAGAAAGCCCAGGGGAAGAAGCAGTCGGAGTGTTCTTGGTTGACATTCAAGATGAGTAGACTTGATTGGTGGAAAGACAGGCAAGCCTCCTGAACGTTTGGGACCAAAGAGAATCTGGAAAAAAGGGTCTACATAGTAAAACATGCCCTAATGTTGGGGAGTCCTGGTGTGGTGCTGCAGAATAATGCACTGGACCACATGGTAGGTTTGAACTGCAAAGTCAGTGGTTCAAACTCAGCAGCTGCTCCTCAGAAACCCTATACAGAGTCACTATGAGTTGGAACCAACTCAAGGGCACTTAACAACAACAACAATGTTGTTGGAGTTCTGGTGTGGTACTGTAGGATAAGCACTGGTCTGTTAAGCACAAGTTCAGCAGTTCAAACCCACCACCCAGTCCTTGAAAACCCTATACAGGGTCACTATGAGTCAGAACCAACTCAACAGCACTTAGCAATAACAACAACATAGTAGAACATGCCCTAATAGCTACTCCAGTTTGTTGTCATTTCCTAAACAATTGACTGCTTCTATTCTCATGATAGAGATAAGTATTTACTGGAAATGTGGTTGAATTATGTCTGTACATACAAAGAAACCCTAAAGATGTCCCACTCCAGTAAATTACAAGTTGTTAGACTGAAAAGGATTCTGGATACATGCTTTAGTGTTTTTAGCAAGAAAAAGTCATGCTTTTGCCATTCCTTCAATGGCCTAACACTCCTGTCTAGATAATATTTTGATCAAAGATTCTGGTCAAGGTGGGAAGGGGCTGCAGGGAGATGGAGCAGGATTTCAAAGTCTCATAGAACTAGTCTTCATGGAGACACTATGGAACTATGCTGTTGTTAAGTGCTGTCTCATAGCAACCTATATGTTGTTAGGTGCCATCAAGTCAATACCGACCCATAGCGACCCTATGCACAGCAGAACAAAACACTGCCCGATCCTGGGCCAACCTCGCTACTGTTGCCACACTTGAGTTCATCGATGCCGTCACTTGGCCAATCCATCTCGTTGGGGGTCTTCCTCCTTTTCTCTGATCCTCCACCGTACCAAACATGCATAGGGTTTCTGAAAAGCAGCTGGTGAGTTTGAACCACTGACCTTGCGATTCAAACTGACCTTGCAGTTGAGTGCTTAGCCTACAGTGTCATACCACAAAACTATGTTGTTGTTAAGAGCCATTGAATCAGTTCCAACACATAGTGACCCTGAATAGGGTTTCTGAGGAGTGACTCGTGAGTTTGAACTTCTGACCTGGTAATCCAAGCCCACAGCACCACACCAGGACTCCTAGAAACCTTGTATTGGGTTTTCAAGGAGCAGCTGGTGGGTTTGAACTGCTAATGTTGTGGTATGAACTACTAACCTTGTGCTGATCCTACAGTGCTACAGTAGTCCCCAAATAAGATATGAGAGACCAAATAAAAGAGACACATGAAAATTCTGAAATCCTGAACATCAGAGGAAAGCTTAGAGTAGTGGAGTGCTTGCTGGGAGGAGACACTGAGCAAGGATGGAAAAAGAGGGTGACTGACTGGTGAAAGCCAACCAGACAGAGCGTGACCATCTTGAACTTCCATTAGCAGATTTGTCAACAGAAGGTGGCCTGGCAGAGCAGATTTACACAGGTGCCTGGAAAGGTGAGATTCCTTTTTCCCCAAGCTCCCCTGATGACCTGAGGTGTGGCCAGTTCCCACCCTCATCAGACTGGGAGTTCAGAGCCACATGTGAGGTGGAGCCGACTTCACCACTTTGGTGCCTGGATTCAGGTAGGCTCAGCTTCAGACCTACAGAATCCACGGAGTCACCAGATCAGAACTAGTCTAGCAGAAGCCCTTATAACCAGTCAGTCTTTCCCCAGCTGCCCTGTGGTCCTAACAGACACTGAACGAACTCCATCAAAGGCCTCTGCAAACTACTTCTGGATTAAGTGACCTAAACATAAATAACACAGAGGCCGATACAGAATTCCATCTAGGACCACTGTCATATTCCTCCTGCTTCTGTCTCGTAATATTCTTGGCTGGCAGGAACCACCGACCTTGTAAGTGTTGCCGAGTTTTCTCCTCTCCACATC